GGCGGCCGGGTGGAGGCAGCAGCTGCACGCCGGGGCAGGATGTACCTGATGGCCTCAGTCTGCTTTTGGGAATGACAGGATTTTCATTTTTGGGTGAACTAACCCTTTAAGTAAACCTTTACATTATAACTTTACAATACATCTACCGGTGCACATGACTGCGTGTCTTACACGGCACCCCTGCTCTCGACAGACGGCATCCCGGTTGGGAAACACTGTCTTATAGAGAGAGCTGAATGCATCTTCTGTGGCCGTGCTCATGTGTTTATGACAAAGGAACTGTGGAGCATGACTCTCTCATTATTTACATCGTTAGCCATAATCATCTCATCAGGAGCGCTGGCTCAAAACCCCCTCTGTTCTCAGTGCTCAGCTCTTCAGAAGAAGATTCCACCACAAACTGAAGCTAAATCTTGTTTGGACCCAATGACGTCACAGCGCCAGAGGCCTTCAAAGCCTGTTACGTGGAAAGCAATGGACCTGCGAGCTCGCAGACATACCAGCGCTTCTTCTTCAGGCATCAACACAATGTGACAATTGAGAATAAAGCTCCTATAGGTGTTCAAGTCAGAAGACTTACCTTGAGGCTTGAGCAACAGGGCCTAGCCGAGCTGGGGCCGTTCTCCGGTGACCGTCTCTCCTTATTTGGCAGGTCCATTTTCCACAAAATGATCTCGTTTTCTTTGGGTGAGGTCTCTCTAATGCAGTTTCTTGGCATTTATGCATGCACCCCTGAAAGAGAGATAGTTCGCATATGTGTGTGATCCATTTCTCCTGCCATAAAACTGCTTTTAGCAAAAATATGTTGCTCTTGTTACAGGTTTAAATAGAATTTGAGGAATCTGTACAAATTTGGCACACGGTGTGAAACAAAAGTTCTGCATTGTGTTCGTGCAATGCAATTCTCGTTCTTATAGACTGATTGAAGTGACAACTCTAAGAATAGCAGCGGAAAGATCAGCTCCCAGGAGAAACGTGCAACTTTCTGTGGAGAGCATTTTCTCCTATAACATCCTGGTATGAGTTTTAAAGCAAAATGCATGTTTGAATTGAGGAAATCTTGGGAAAATATTACAATGTTGTTGCATTTAGAATAACTGATAAGATGAAATCTAGTGAAGTACTGTGCAAACTTTTCTTTGCAAGCATGTAAACAAAGGCATGCTCTATATATGCTCATCTAATCTAATACCACATGTATTCACTCTGTACTTATGTACCTTATACGTCGCTTCGGGAATTTTAATCTCAACAACCACTTTGAGATTTGCAAATGAAACCAATGAACTTGTGCAACATGTGCTGTAGTTTCTGTAGGATTTAAACTCAGTCTCGTTCCCTACTCAGGGAACCATGGTTACATAAGTAACCTGAAACGTTTCTGCCAGTACTTCTTTGTTAGTCCTTCTTATTTTACTAGGTGTAGAATTAAAAATGAATCCAACTTTTTCCCTAACAACACTAACTCTTAAATACTGTTGGGGAGATTCATATATCACTCATAACTGTCATGCAGCGTTATTGAGACGCTTTTATAAAAAAAATAAATAAAAAAAAAAGATTTTTATGCTTTTTAATTTTAATTTTGTTTTAGTAATTTTGGAGGTTTTTATTAAATATATCTATAAACATTTTTATTAATTTTTAGCTATTTTAGTACCATTTTAGTATCAAGTAAAGTAAATGAAAATGAGAAATTGAGAAAATAATTTTAAGTATTTCACTTTAAGTTTATTTCTAGTTATTTATGGTTTTAGTTTTACTTAACTATAATAAGCCTGCTGACACAAAATATGAAAGATTTATTGGTTACAAAGCATGAGTGTGAATGTGTGGTGGAACAACAAAAGTTGAATAAAACATTCAGGTTCTTTTGACAAAGTTATGACCAAACTATCAACTACAGTCCTAAGTAAAGTTGCAAGTTGCGTTATTGTTTCTTGGTAGGAAAAAGCTTATCCAACCACATTTTTCTGAATATAAATCACAACTTCAGGTCCTTGATAACTCACATACACAAGAACCTCATATAAGCAACTTCTATAAGAGTCTCCAAGGTATTCAAGCTATTCAAGCTCTGATTGTATATTCGGATTGAACTTTATGAGTCCTTGAGCGCAGTCAGTGCAGTAAATGAAACATCAACTGAACTATAAATTTCAGAGGCTGCTTTGAATTTATGAATAATTGGACAAGTTTTCATGCAACTTAAAAATATTGCAGCCTTCTTCACAAGCCGAGATGTTTACCTTAGTCATTTAGCTGATGCGTTTTCTACTTTTCTGAGTCACTACACTTATTATGACAGGGACAGTCCCTGTAGAGTTACCGGAGGTTATGCGTCTTTCACAAGGACGCAAAGGTTCATGAACCAGCTCTTTGTAGAAACAGACAGATAATCGGTTTGACTGATTTTAAACAATATTTGCTCTTTTCTACTTAATTAGGTCTGTATTATCATGTCTAAATGACACTGTTTAGTGTTTCTAAAGAACCGCACTCAACAACACCACTACGCCACAGTTCATTCATATTCAGAAGTGAGAAGCACGTAGCTTTTACACAGTCCAATATGTGACCATTTAGATCACAAAACTGCAGAAATCATAACATTTATACAGAATTTTATATGAATGATTACATGAGTTGTATTCTGATTATTTTGTTATTGTCAAAACGCAAAACTAAAACATTTAATCATACAAATAATCAGTAAACAAATTGGCTTTGAACTTAAAACCTTTCAGTTACACTGTAAAAATGATTATTTGAAGCTAGAGTACATTTTACAAGAAATTACTACACACACACACACACACACACAAAAACTGGTAAAGAAACTATTTTCACTCAGAATTTGCTACATTTTACAAACAATCACAAAGAACAGCAAGTAACACTTAATCAAACATTAAATTTTGAAGCAGAACAACTAAAATAGTATTTTCTTGTAAAACATACTCCAATAATCTTTAAAAAGTAATTTTTGCAGTGTATTTCAGTCTTTCTACTTCAAAATTTCACGCTTAATTCAATGTGTTACCCTTTTTTGGTAATTATTTATAAAATTTAATAGCAATTTCTGAGTGCAAATAGTTTCAAAACCATATTTTTAATAGTGTACCAGCCAGATCTTTAACCACTGCACCACATTGCGCAACTTTCTACAATGAATGCATTGCATTTATCTCAAAACTAGGAGCTCACATATACATCAGACACATGAAGGTAAACAGTCTGTAGTCTGGTGAATTGATGTGGATGAGTGGTCATGACAACCAGTGCGCAAGTGCGTCTAATTAACCAGCAGCTGATATGAATCCACCCCGAACCCACAAGTGACCAGAGGGAAAAAATAATAAAACCGTTCAATGTATAAAATCCAATGCACAGACTGAATGTTAGAAATAAAAAACGCCTTAGTCTCCGGAACCCAGATGAGCGTGCATAATTAAAGCACGCTATAAAATGATTGTTAATATAAGTAACAAGTCAATGGCGCAATAATTATGATGCACAATAACTCTCAATCATTCAAACTAATCTAGTAAACGGCACAAACACACGGCAGTCCACATGCAGACCTACTTTTAACGAGCAGACGTTGGCTTTCTCCTCTTCTAACACAAACGAACGCAGCTTTGCGCACCGCCAGACCCATTTTAAACCATGTCATGTCTAGTGCGCAATGCATATCCATAATTTGTAAGCAAGAGATGAATTAGGTCAAATGTCTTGTGTCTGTCTTGGTATACAGAAGAACAGCTGCGATCTACTCACCAGTTCATATATACGATCCGGTCTCGTCTTCTCTTGGTTGTTATACAATCTATGGATATGTAAGTGTCCCCGCTGGTCCAGAATGAGTGTGTATGGAGCAGATCATGTGTGTCAGATGGTTTTCACATGGAAAGAAACTTCCCACGGGCTGCCGGAGACGAGGAAAGGCACTTGGTCCTGGAGGTTTCCCAACACTTCCACTCACATCCGATTCCTTCGCGCTCAGCTCGATGTGTCCGAATCGTTTAATCTTTTTGACGTCAATCTTTTTCTTAGGTTTTTCACGAGCCTTTCTTGAGAGGTGAGCTAGTTTGTTCTGCTTGAAGCGGCTGGATGGATCGAGCTGAAGCACGTGATGAGCGCGCAGAGGGACTCTGCATGATCACATCATACGCGTGAAGTGCGCGCTGAGCGTTTCATCACTGTTTTAGTAAAACGGTGACACTTTATCATAACTGAAATTAATATATGTCTGACAAACACTATATGATTCTTTACAGACCATTAGATTAGTGCGAATTCATAAAATACATGCTCTGACACTAATAGGCTATGTTTAGCCTTATTTAATGTTTGTGAATGAAAGGTAGGCTATATAAGAAAACACTCAGTCATGATTTACATTAAAGTCAACTGTATAATTAACCTTTTGTTTGCGGTCTGAGAGAACAAGCCCCAAAACATACTTACCATTAAAATATGAGGGTTGATCATTAAAGATTCGCATAATTATTTTATGTTTTCTGTTCTATTGCGTGTCTAATCTTTAATAATGGGGTTTCATTACGTCAGAGGGAAAAAAAAATGAAATAAGCGATTTAAAAAAATTATTTTATTTATTACGCATTATTATAATTATTAACCTATTAATTTTTTAATTATTTTATCCCAAATTTTTGGGGTCTCTGTGCTGCACATACAGAAAGACAGTTTTAATAGAACATGACTCATGTTTAATATGTGTAAAATGGGTTTTCATTATGTCAATGGAACATGCCATTTTAATATTTATTTTTATAATTATTAAATTGATTAACTTTATTCATTATTATTAAAATATTATTCATATTTTTTACGTATTAAATATTGTTATATTAACTTATTAAATAGCATATTAATTTTAAATGATTTTATCTCAAGGTCTCTGAGACCCTGATCATAAAGTACATTTTACTACAACATGACTGATCTTTAATAATATTTGTAAAATGGGTTTTCATTGTGTCAGAGGAACATTAAAAACATGAAAACATTTAAATAAGCAATTTTTATGATTGTATTTATAGTTATAATTAGTTAATAAATTTGTTAACATTAAATTATGAATAAAGTATTATTGATGCAATTATTAAAAATATTAACATTAATATTAATTATCACAAGACCTCTGAGATCCTGAACATAGAGTCTATTTTAATATAACATGATTGATGTGCAATCATACATTAAAATCTAATCTGTGTGCCAATGCAAAATGTTAACACTAATTCCAATGGGTTGCAACAATTTGAATAACATGAATTTAAATGATCATAATCAGTTCTTTGTTTTTACAGAGATAACTTACTTGGCTTGAGTTTCCAAGTGCTTTTCAGGAAAACCATGCCTGCGAATCAAAAGTGACGTCAATGTGAGAGACAGACTGACTCATTCAATGCCAAAACAAAATGTCAAACTACGGGTGCAAAGTCAGTCGTTCCTCAAGTTCGTTCAACCTGCATTTATCCATCCCCCCATCCAGATCAATTATACCAAGCCTGGACGTCCAGAGATAAATATTTCTGAAAGGAACGGATGGCCAAACATGTGTGTACTCGTACAGATCATATTTATCCACAGCCAGATGATTTTGTTCCAGCCATACTTCTTATATATTTAGAAAAACAGTCATTTTTAATAGCATGTTATTTATTCAGCCAATATGGAGTCCTCATATAACATGTTTTCAGGAAAGGGTGGATAGAGGAGAGACAATGCACATTGCCTTGTTTCCATGGAGATGACCAAGCCATAATATGACAGTTGTTATAACCTTCTGACTGTGGATTACACACATCCTACTCTTGCTGATACATGACTTGTCCATGTAGACTCAAAAGCACCCAAAGGATAAAGCCATTAATGGACCGAATGTCTGCATTTCTGATGTAAAATACGAGATGATGGCCAATGCAATCACGTGGAGCATTATGGTATTAAATGCACTGCCCGCCTACTTCATGTTCATAATGATAACCGTTGTAAATAGAAAATGAAAATACATTGCATATTTAAATTGTCAAGAAATGGGAGAAATGGGGATTTTTATACATTACCTGTATAAACAAAAATGCATAAAGCCTCAATAAGCAAAAAAACGGCAGAGTTTTCTATACATCAACAGACTCTAAATGTATGTATATGCAGTCTAATCTGTGTGATTATGCTGTTAAAATATAGGCGAAAATATGATTTAATAATATAAATGCATCACTGTGTGGTATGGCGCCTGCAACGCGTCCTGCCGCGATGCCCACAGCCCTCCAAAGTTTTGAAGAATTGAAGGAAGCCTTCTGCACCGCTCCTACCCTCGCGCTGCCCGATCCTCAGAAACCATTTGTCGTGGAAGTAGATGCGTCCACCGTAGGAGTAGGAGCGGTGCTCTCCCAGCAGTCTGAAGAGCCTCCCAGCCTCCATCCCTGTGCATACTTCTCCCACAAGCTTTCCCTGGCAGAGCAGAATTATGACATCGGGAACCGCAAGCTTCTCGCCATCAAGCTCGCGCTGGAGGAGTGGAGACATTGGCTGGAGGGAGCTCGTCATCCCTTCCAGGTCATCACTGACCACCGGAACCTGGAATATCTTCGGGAGGCCAAACGCCTCAACCCCCGTCAGGCACAGTGGGCGCTGTTCTTCACCCGTTTCCAGTTCACTTTTACCTACCGTCCCGGACCCAAAAACACCCGAGCAGACGCTCTATCCCGCCTTCCTCAAACCACCGAACGGGTAATACCCCTGGAGACCATTCTCCCTCCAGCCCTGATTGTGGGTCCCTTTCAATGGGCACTAGACGAAGAGATCCGCCAGGCCACCCACTCAGAACCAGCTCCACCGGGAGGTCCAGAAGGGAAGGTCTATGTCCCATCCACTCTCCGCAGTACCCTTCTGGACTCGCTGCATTCCTCTCCGGGCTCTGGACATCCAGGCAGCCAGCAAACCCTCTCGCTCCTCGAATCCCGCTATTGGTGGCCCGCTATGGCGCGAGAAGTCCGGCGCTTTGTCCAAGGATACTCAGTCTGTGCCATCACCAAATCTCCCTGTCACCTACCTCAAGGCAAACTGGTACCCCTTCCCATACCTCACCGGCCCTGGTCCCACATCGGAGTCGACTTCGTCACCGATCTCCCTGAGTCCGAATCCCATACATGTATTCTCGTAGTTGTCGACCGATTCTCAAAAGGATGTAAACTTCACCCCCTCAGAAAATTACACACGGCCAAGGAAACCGCTACAGTTATTCCACCAAGTCTTTCGCAACTTCGGCATCCCGGAGGATATCGTCTCCGATCGTGGGATACTTTCAGACGGTTTTCGAAAGTACGGCAGAATTCTTGGCCTGGTATTTCTAATAGGATTTCACTAATCCATTCTCGCCTGTTGCAGTGGCCTGCCGAACAAACGGCTACTTCAACTCCATATTCTTGGCATGGTGCTTTATAACTGGGTTAGCCCGTTTACAGTAACATGACAAAACAAGCACAGTATAATCTAAGATGTTAGAATAATTACAACTGAGAATATGAATAATGTGCTAATTGTACTGACTCAGAGTTTAATTCTTGCATCACAGGAAACTCAATGGGTTTCTTTGACGCAGGGCAACCGTTATATTTGTGAAATCTCAACTAAAGAGAAGATAACATATTCTTTAGCTGTAAATATGACTTGACTTCATGCACAACACAACAACTCATCAAGTCCTTGAACTAATTGTGTGCAGAGATACAGTGTACCGGCATTTGCATTTGAGGGCCACGTGTGACGTCATATCCAGATACAAGTATTTTTGTGCACAGAAGATATGCACATGAAATCAGACTGTTTATTTATTATTTTTTTGTCTGAAAATGAAGAATCAAACAACAGGGGCATCACTAGACCCTTATTGTAGTAAAACAGCGCAGTGGCTCAGTAAAATATTACTGATAAATCCTTATGTGTCAATGGGATTGATGTATAACAACCTGAGAGTTTTTTTGTCTGATAACATTTCAGCAAAAGCTGTATGTTTTCTATGAGCTGTTTCGAATCAGATGCCAAATTTGTGAACGAATCACTCTAATCAGTCAAACGGGTTTGCACAAAGGTCTGAAATTGTTTGTGATTCAGTTTGATTAATTCGGACAGTTCACTCACACACTGAATCATCTGCAGCATTTTCTCATACCAAAAACATGGATGTGGTGGATATTTGCCTACAGTCATTATTACAGTGAAATGCAGCTGTTAATAAAATATTACTGAAAAACCTTTATGTGTCAATGGGATTGATGTCCTGAGAATCATTTTCTCTGACAATATTTCAGGAATCAAGTCGTGTGTTCTTAGAATCAGAACCACAACTAGTGAACACTGATCAAACGGGTTTGCGAAAAGATCTGAAATGGTTTGTGATTCAGTTTGATTCATTTGGACAGTTCACTCACACACTGAATCGTTTGCAGCAGGTACTCACAAGGGTTATTATAGTTATAGATCCTTCTGAGGGAGAAATGGGGATCTTTATAAATTATAAACAAAATTTATAGCAAAAATGAGCTAAAATGCATATTGCAGTGTTTTCTATACGTCAACAGACTCTAAATGTATAATTGATGTAATCTGAGGGATTATGCTGTTAATTTCGGGCAAGTGGAAGTACTGTAAGTAGAGCTGCATCATCCATCATTTTATGATTAAGATATAGGTGATTTAATAATATAAAATTTATATTTCAATAATTTAATATGAAAATGTAATAACAATATTCAATACTTTCATAATATAATAAAATATATAATATATAATTAAAATAATATTGTTTATATTATTTTAATAATGAGGAATATTGTCTCCCTCAAAAATAATCATAAAAATAATAATATTAATTTAAAAAATGTAAAAAGTCTAGGATTTTTTATCAGTAATCATCATTTCTCTTCAGAAGGATCTATTTTAAAAAGCTTAATTTTGCAATATATTTTCATCACTTGTTGCCAATGCAACGTTTCTCATTTTAATTTAGTTTAACTTGATGTACTAAAATATAAAATAAATAAAAAAAATAAAAATAAATATACATACACATACACATAAAAACACAAAAAGAAAATCTAAAAACTGATTAAAAATATTAATAAAAACTGTAGTATCTCAA